ATGACCACTGGTTCCTGAGTACTCCAAAGCATGGCTGGGCATACCTACAGATCAAATTAATGGTCGGGGGCAGTGGGCTTACAAGCTCTCTGTTCTATATTTCCCAAAATCATTTCTATAAATCATAAGCAAAATAAATCAGTATAAACAAAGTAGAATCAGATACTAAACTCAATTCTTAAAACAGTCAAGTTCAATCCTTATTTACCCTATCTAAATCTTTATCTAAACTATTCAATTTATACAAAAATATGGGATTAGGTCTTTAAGAGCATTAAACCAGATCCAGGCTTTCTGTCAGGCATTTTGACCTTCTGTCAGCCATTTTCCTTAAGCAGCATTGTTTCTGAGAAATTCAAATGGCAATTTCTATCCCTGAGCTCAAAATATACATAAATAACATCCATTTTTTGCCATTTTAAATAAGAATAACCAAAGACTACCACCAAACAAAATAATAAAAACTTTAACTCCCCATATTCTTTCCAGAAAACAACCAAGTAAACAGTGTGGCTTTATCTGACCTCTGGATTGCCAAAGAAGAAACACTGCCATGAGAGAGAGGTCAAACAAACATCTACTCTCCAATTTAAGATTTCTTCCTCCAGTACCCCACTCCTGGTACCATAATGTGTTAGTCTGGATAGACTAGAGAAACAAATCCACAGGAACTCATATAATATTCTCTGTGAAACTTTCAAAGATGTAAAATTTTATGTCCAGACAAATATGAAGGGAATCATAGGACTTTCAGATGTCCTTTCAGATGTAAGAAAAAAATGAATAGAAATATCTCACATCTTCCTAACAATTAGATGAGATGTTCATGTAATCCCATAGCACTGAATCACTAACTTTAAAAAACGTAATGGTTGTCCCATTTCCCCAACAAGGAAGCCATAAAATAGCCCTGCACCCTGAAAAGTAAAACTCTAGCCTTCCTGAACAACAGCAAGAAGCTACAAGGCATTTGAAGACCCAAGGAAATAAGGCATGTGGTGGCTCTCATGCCCTGGTGAGGAATGCAACGAAGCCCAGGGCACAAACAAGTGAGTGAGAGTTCAAAGCAATCTGGATCTGGAATGCAGATCCAAAAGAGTAATCTGAAGAAAAGCTCTTGGGACGAGCAAAAGTGGAATTAATATGAACAATTTTCAGCTACTTTTAAAGGTTTATAGAACTATCAAAGACAAAATGAAAAGAACAAAAAACCTAGGAATTCTAGACCAAATAATGTATCTAGAAGAGATGAAAGAGATGAGAACAAAACAAACCCCTATGGAATAATAATAATAACACAATACAATGAGAAATTATACTCCAATAAATTTGAAAACTTAGAGAAAAGAAACATTTTTCTTGATGTGCCAAGTAAACACAAACTAATGTAGAAATAATTTTTTAAAAACATAACAAAAAATGAAATATATCCTGTCTTTAATTTTTTTTGACAAAATGGTTCATGCCCAGATGATGTCACCATATGATTCTACTAAGCATTCTGAAGAGGTGACGCATAGTAAAGAACATAGTAAAAAACATAGTAAAGAACATTGTAAAGAACAGCACCAGACACTCGAAAGAAACGCAATCCTGAGACCGAAACTAGGGTCTGGCAAAGACTCTATCAGTGCTGAAAACTACAGACCAATATCTTTCATGAATAGCAGGGCAAAAATTTTCAATAAAACACTTGCCAATAATATCCAACAATATATCAGAAATATAATACACCATGATTGAATGGGCTTTATTCAAGACACACAAATATGATCTAATATTAACAAAATAATAAATATAACCGCATCACAAATAAAATAAAAAAAATGAGAATCAAATAATGCTCTCAATAGATGCAGAAATGACATAGACAATATTCAACTATGATTCCAGACAAAACACTCAGCAATATAGGAATATAAGCAATATTTCTCAACACAGCAAAGGTCATATATGAGAAAATGAATTGGTCGCATCTTGCATAACAGGAAAAACTGATAAGGTTCCTCAGAGATCACGAAGCAGACAAGGATCCCCCTTATCACCGTTCCTATTCAACATTGTGGTACAAGTTTTAGCCAGGATGATTAGACAACTTAAAGAAATTGGAGGAATCTAAATGGGCAAAGAAGTGAACCATTCATTTGCAGATATGAGCTCACATGTAGAAAAACCAGAAGACTCAACAACAACCCAAAAATGTTGGAAATAAGCAAAAGATTTGGCAACATAGCCAGATACAATATTAGCATGCTAATATCAATCAGATTCATGTGTACTAAGGACAATAGTTCTAAAAATACAAACGAGAAGCAATATCATTTATAAAAGCCGCACAAAAAATGAAGTGCTGAGTAAATCAATTAATCAGAGAAACAAAAGACTTGGACAAAGAAAACTACAGAACATTATCACAAGAAACTAAAGGAGACCTTATAAATGGAAGAATATTTCATGTTCTTGGGTAGAAAGGCTTAATATTGTATTGTGGGAATGTAAATACCACCCAAAGTAATCTAGGAATACAACACAATATCCATCCAGCTCCCAAATTTATTCTTTACAGGGTGGGGGGAAAGTCACTAACTTTGTAGAGAGAGGAAAGTGACGCAGTACAAGCAAAGAACTTCTTAAGGAAGAAGAGCAAAATAAGAAACCTCCATAAAACCTTAAGACCTTAAAACCTATTATATGGCCACAGTAATCGAGATATCCTGGTAACTGGTATAATGATAGATACATAGGCCACTGGAACAGCATAGAAAGCCCAGGAAATTCCATCCACTTACAGACAACTGATCTTGGACAAAGGACAAAAATGAAATGGGAAAGAGATAGTATTTTAACAATGGTACTGGAAAAATTAGATTTCCATGGGTAGAAGAATGACATGGTATTCATACCTCATCTCATGTAAAAAAAAGTCATCTCAAGATAAATTAAAGGCCTAAATATAAATCCCAGAGCTACAAAGATCATCAGTGAGAAAACTGGGAGAATTTAAGGGCTCATTACTGACCTAGGCAAATTATCAAGTATAACAAAAGAAGGTCACAGAATAGAAGGAAAAACAGATGACTGGGATGTACTTAAAATAAGACACTGGTGGGTATCAAAAGGATCTATGTATAACCTCCTCCCTGGGGGGTGGACAGCAGAAAAGTGGGTGAAGCGAGACGTCAGACAGGGCAAGATATGACAAAATAATAACTTATAAATTATCAAGGGCTCATGAGGAAGGCGGGCATGGTGAGGGAGGAGAAAAAATGAGGAGCTGATGCCAGGGGCTTAACTGGAGAGCAAATGTTTTGAGAATGATCAGGGCAATGAATGTACAAATGTGCTTTACACAATTGATGTATGTATGGGTTGTGATAAGAGTTGTATGAGTCCCTGATAAAATGATTTAAAAAAAAAGACTTCATCAATAGAGTAAAATGAGCTCCCACAGACTAGGTAAAAATCTTTAGCAATGACATGATGAACAGGGATTAATCGCTGAAATTTATACAAACTGCAATATCTCAATAAGAAAAAAAATGAATGTTGAAAAGTGAGCAAAGGATGTGCACAGATAGTTCAAAAAAGACACCCAAAGTGCCACCAACCATGGAAAATTCTCATGATCATTGGTGATATGGGAACTGCAAATCTAAGTAGCTATGAGTTATCATGTTACCTTAACAAATGGAGCCCAATTAAAAAGAAAGAAACATAAAAAAATCATAAACTCTGGATAGGGTGTGGAGAGCTTTGGATGATCATGACCAAAAATAATATACAATTATGGAAAGCAATATGGTACTACTTCATACAATTGAGGATAGAAACTCCCTATGATCCAATGATACCTTTGCTGGGTATAAACTATAAAGAAATAAGAGGCATAAGACACATGTATTCCTATGTCCATCACAGCACTCTGCACAATCAAAATAATTTTTTATTCTCTAGAAACTCTCCAAATGCCCATCAGTAGAAGAATGGATAAAAACTAGTTGCTACAGACTCACAATGGAATCCTACACATAGCTAAACAATAGTGAAACCATGAAGCACTTCATGATATGCATGTACCTGGAGACTATTATGCTGATTGGAGTTAATCAATAACAAAAGGACAAATATTGTACAAGAGCACTGGGTGAAAACACTGACAAAATTTTGCACACTAAAGGGAATGGACTTTGGAGGTTACCAGAGAGAGGGGTCAAGGTTGAAAAGATGAAGTGAAGGACCAGAGGGTTAACGGATAATGACTTCAGGGAATGGGAGAATGGTGGTTCACAAAAAGGAGGAGAGAAATCATGGAGGGAGAAGGTGGAATTTAATAAGGCATGGATGCAAGGTTGGAAGAGGTGTTGGTGAGTGATGTGAACGGTTACATGCAGAGTTGATGATCTGAAATGTAAATCTCCCTCACCTATTTCACAATTTAAAATGCATGTATAAAAAAGATGTGTGGAAACAGATTTTGGGATTTTCTTTAAAAATCTATACATTAAATAAAAGATAAATCCTTAATCATTTTCCATAAAGATATGTCCAGAGCTTACTTTTTACATGTTGTGGAAATTTTAAATTTTTCTCTAATAATGCATTATTTTTTCATCTTTTTGCTCCATCTGGAAGACAACCAATATGTGAGCATAGGAGGCAGCTGCTGCCCCGGCCAAGAGTGACCTGGACTCATACCCAATAACAGAAGCTCTAGAAACCCTTTAGCTGCAAAGGAGAGTGCAAGTGTAAAGATAGTTTCCTTGTAGCCAGGATTATAATGTCTGAGGACCCAATATCTTTTAGCCCACTTGCTCAGTTTTCACATCCATGACTTTTAAACTAAATTTACATTTAAGACCTTCCTCATTTACATGGCATGAAACATAAAATACATGGATAAATAGAAAGGATGACTTAGTTGTTGTTGCTAGCTACCATCAAGTTGGTTCTGTCTGACCCATCGCAACTCGGTGCACACACAATAAAACAAGCACTGATCCCCCAATGGTTGTCAGCTATCCAGGCTAGCACGATGCCTGTGATGGTGTTACACTGTTGGAAGAGCAAGCGCTGCCCGGTGGGTTCTGGCTCCAAGCACTCTTTCCGTGGTGTAGTCACGTACCTTTGGGCAGCATTTTGCACCTATGAGAGTGGACTGACTCCTCCTATGGAGTTGGTCCTAGTCTGGATGCAAACATTGAAAAAACAAACAAACAAACAAACAAACAAACAAACAAACAAACCAAAAACAAGCGCTGCCTGGTCCGGAACCATCCTCCCAATTGTTCCTATGTTTGAGCCCATTGTTCCAGCTACAGTGGTTCATCTCCTTGAGGACCTTCCTCTTTTTGGCTGCCTCTCTACTTTACCCAACTTGATCTCATCTCTCCTGACAACATGCTCGCATTGTGTAAACTGAAGTCTTATCATCCTTGCCTCTGAGGAGCATTCTAGCCATACTTCTTCCAAAACAGATCAGTACGTCCTCTGAACAGTCAATGGCACGGTCAATATTCTTCCCCCAAATTCACATATTGATTCCTCTTCAGACTTCTTTATTCCATGTTCAACTTTGACATGCATTGAGGCCACTGGAAATACAATAGCTTGGCTCAGGCATATTGTAGTCCTCAAAGTAACAAACTTAATTTTCCATGCTCTAAAGAGGTCTTGTGCAGCAGATTTACCTAATGCAACTTATCTTTTGATCTCTTGACTACTGCTTCCATGAGCATTGATTGAAGATACAAGCAAGATAAAATCTGTAACAACTTCAAAGTTTACTCCATTATAACGATACCTGTAGGTCCAGTTTCAAGGACTTTGGTCTTCTTTGCATTAAGTTGTAATCCATACTGAAGGCTGCAAACCTTGATCTTCATCACTAGATGCTTCAAGTCTACCCTACTTGCAGCAAGTAGGGTCATTTCATCTGCATATCACAGGTTGTCAATAAGCCTTCCTCCAATGTTCATGCCACATTTTTCTTCATATAAAAACGATTATTTTCCCATCATACAGACTGAATAAGTTTGATGAGAGGACACAAATTTGACACATAATTCCTTATTTTCAACCATGCAGACTTCCATTGTTTTGTTCACACAACAGCCTTTTGATCCATATGCAAGTTCTACATGAGCATAATGACGTGTTCTGGAATAAAATTCCCAGTTTTCTCAAGTTTATTCCACAATGTATTGTGATCCACACAGTTGATTGCCTTGGCATAGTCAATGAGATACAAGCAAACATCTTTCTCGTTTTCACTTTCAGCCAAGAGCCTTTGGCAATAGCAATGATTCTACACTCTCTTCTAACGTATGGCCTCCACCTCTGGCAGCTCCCTGTCAATGCACTGTTGCACTGCTGTTGGAGGATCTTCAGCCACATTTTACTCACTGGGATATTAATGTTGGTCTACAGTTTAAGAATTCTATTGTCACCTTTTGTGTTAGTCTGAGTACATTAGAGAAACAAATCCACAGACACTCATATGTATAAGAGAGAGTTTTATATAAAGGGTAAGTGCATATCAAGAAAATATCCCAACCCAGTGCCACCCAAGCACACAAGTCCAACATTAGCCCATATGTCAGACACCAATCCACAAAGTCCTCCTCCGTCTCACAAAACACATGCAATAATGCTGAATCAGTGAGCGTATAAGAATCTCAGCGCTGGCAATGGTCTCCACATGGCTGCTCCAGCACCCAGGGCTACATCGGGGTAGGTCCAGGCAGTTTATCTCTGTGGGTGTCTTGCAGGAAGTGAGCCTTGCCAACTGAAGCAGGGAACTGGCTAAGTTAGCTGCACCCTGGTCCAACCATCAGAATGCAAGAGACCCAAGAACTAGAAAGGTGAGGCTCACTGAGCCATTTATCTCTCCGCCCTTCAACTAACCCCACATGTGTTTATCAGCCAGGTTGGCACAATAAACTTTAACTACTTCACTTTTCTTTGGAATGGGCACAATTATGAATCTCTCCCAGTCATATAGCCAAGTAGCCGTCTTCCAAATTTCCTGGAATAGACAAGTGAGTGTTTCTAGTGATTCAACTTGTTGAAACATTTCCATTTCGATTCCATCAATTCCTGGCATCTTTTATCTGTCTAATGCTTTCAGTGCAGCTTGAACTTCTATTCACACCATTGGTTGTTGCTCATATGGTTCCTCCTGGAATGCTAGCCTGGTGACCAGATCTGTTTGGTACAGTGATTCTGTGTATTCTTTCCATCTTCCTTTGATGCTTCTCCTGATGCTTCCGACATTGTTCATTAATTTGTTCATACAATCTTTCAATATTGCAACTTGAGACTTGAATTTTCCTTGAGTTATTTAAGCTTAATATACACAAAATATGTTCTTACCTTTTAGTTTTCTAATTTTAGATATTCTCACATTTCATTATTACTTCTTGGCTTTGTCTTCAAGGGCTTCCTTTTGATTTTCAATTTGATTTAATTGTTTCTTCCATTTTCTTTACCTACTCAACAATAAAGAGAATGTTTCAGAGTCTCTTCTGACATCTTCTCTGATCTTGTTTTTCTTTCCTATCATTTTAATGAAATATTTTTTTCATCAATGATGTCCTTAATGTCCTCTCATAGTCCATCAGGTCTTCTGTCATTACTGTTCAGTACATCAAAACTGTTCTTGATATGTTTTCAAAATTCAGGTAGGATAGACTGAAGGTCGTATTTTTGCTCTCATGGACTTGTTTTAATTTTATTCAGCATCAGCTTGAACTTATATATGAGCAACTGATGGGCTGTTCCACAGTCAGCCCCTGGCCTTGTTTCAGCTGCTGATATTGAGCTCCTCCATCATCTCTTCCCACAGATGTAGTCAACTTGATTTCTGTGTAATCCATCTGGAGAAGTCCCTGTATCTAGTCACATTTTTTGTGTTGTGAAAAAGGTATTTGTTATGAACAAGCTGTTGGTTTTCCAAAATTCAATCATTCAATCTCCAGCTTCATTTATATCACAATGTCCATATTTTTCAACTACTGTTCCTTCCTCTTTCTTTCCAACTATTTCATTCTAACTGCCAATAACTATCAATTAATCTTGAGCGCAGCTTTTATCAACTTCAGACTGAAGTGATTGGTAGTATTCTTCAATTTCTTTATCACTAGCACTTGTGGTTGGTACATAAATATGAATAATAGTTTTATTGATTGGATTTTCTTTAAGGTTGATAGATATAATCCTATCACAGACAGCATTGTATTTCATGATGGATTT